TTTTACCGATCAATCACGAGTTTGGTCTTCGAGTTATTTATACTCGCTCAGTCGGATTTTTACCGATCAATCACGAGTTTGGTCTTCGAGTTATTTATACTCGCCTAGTCGGATTTTTACCGATCAATCACGAGTTTGGTCTTCGAGTTATTTATACTCGCCTAGTCAGATTTTTATCGATCAATCACGAGTTTGGTCTTCGAGTTATTTATACTCGCCTAGTCGGATTTTTACCGATCGATCACGAGTTTGGCTTTCGAGTTATTTATACTCGCCCAGTCAGAATTTAACCGATCAATCACGAGTTTGGCCTTCGAGTTATTTATACTCGCCCAGTCGGAATTTACCGATCAATCACGAGTTTGGTCTTCGAGTTATTTATACTCGCTCAGTCGGATTTTTACCGATCAATCACGAGTTTGGTCTTCGAGTTATTTATACTCGCCCAGTCAGAATTTTACCGATTAATCACGAGTTTGGTCTTCGAGTTATTTATACTCGCCCAGTCGGAATTTAACCGATCAATCACGAGTTTGGTCTTCGAGTTATTTATACTTGTCCATTCGGAATTTAACCGATCAATCACGAGTTTGATCTAAACCATGAACTATATATTCAAGAAAAAGCGACGAGCCCCTGCAGCTCCCCCACTCGAGAAGCATAAGCCTCATTGGACCGCAATGCAATCTCAAGAGATTTCTGCACCCGCGCAAGGTCGGTACGCGCGGTCCGGAGCTCAGCCTCCCGCCGCTTCGCTTCATCAAGAGCCGCGATGAGAGCCTTGTTATCCTCCCTCAGGATCTTGTTCGCCTCCTTCCATGGCTGAAGCCGGCCCTTCACCTTAGCCAGCTCCTGCTCTTGCTTGGCCAGCTCCTGCTCCCGCTTAGCCAGCTCCTGCTGCTGCTTGGCCAAGTCTTCTCGCTGCTGGCCCCACTTGGGTTTCCAGTGACTCATTATGCCTATCACCCTCTGCAGCATGACCTGTGCAGCATCAAAACTGTCCTCGGGACCGATCCTATCAATCAATCCCTGGTCCTCGGAGC